CCTAAAGGTCAGCAGTTCGAAACTACTGGCGGAACTGACTCCACGGAACATAACCGCATCGTCTTTTGGAGTTCTTGTGTGGGGCTACAGGACCACAACAAGGTCAGCAGTTCAAATTCACCAGCTGTTCCTCAGAAACCCTATACAGAGACGCTGTGTGTCAGAACTTGACAGCACTTAACAACAATATAATCTTTTAGACCACTAGGGTAAGCAGTCCTGGTGGCGTACTGAGTTATATGTTGGGCTAATAACTCAAGGCCAGCTGTTCCAACACATCAATCACTCCAAAGGAGAAAGATGAGGCTGGCTATCGGCTCCCATGCAAAATTACAGTCTTGGAAACACTAATGGAAAGTCTACTCTGTTTTATAGGGTCACTTGATGGGTCAGATTCAACTCAATGGCAGTAGTTTTGGTTTAGTTTAGACACTATGCATTGTTGGTGTTACTATTCTTTACTAAATTGCCTCCAATTTACTACAAAAAAATATTTTGTAGACGTTAAGGAACTCCCTAAGATCACACTGCTAAATTCAAAGAGCCAGGATTTAAATCAGATTGTTCTGGTGTGGTGCCATGGGTTAATATGCTAAACTGATGCTGATCAGCCACTCCTTGAAAACCCTATACAGGGTCTGTATGAGTTGGAACTACTCAATGGCACTTAACAAGAACAAGAGTCATACTTGGTTATTCACATTATGTCAAAATAACAAACACCTAAAATTTGAAAATTTGAACTACCTTATTATATGTGGCCTCAGAATTTATACTTGCAAAGAAGCTCAGAATACTGTTTGGGGTCAAGCACACCTGTGTGGCCACATTCTGGGTTGGGTTAGGGAAAATATACCTCCTGGTCATATATTAATTGTACCCATGCATGGAGTCCTTCTAAAGGAGCTGTGGTAGCGTAGTAGTTACGAATCAGGCTGCGGACCTTAAGGTCATTAGTTCGAAACTACCAGCCGCTCCACGGGAGAAAGATCAGGCTTTCTGCTCCCATAAAGATTTACAGCCTCAGAAATCCTGTACAGGGTTGCTATGGGTCAGAAACAACTCGACGGCACTTAACAACAACAACATGGAGTCCTTCTATGGCACTGTAGGATAAGCACTGACAGCGTGGTCAACAGTTCACACCCACCAGGTGCTCATTAGAAACACTACACAGGGCATCTATGAGTTGAAACAGACTCCACGGCACTTAGCAACAACATGGTTCAAACACTGATACAAGAGTCATCTAGAGAGTAGTAATGGCTAGATGCAAAACATATAAATTTACATCTTTGTTCACTTTCGAGCTGTGTATTTAAGAACTTAACTTTCTATACACTTAATTTATTTTTAAAGTGGGACTAATAACCATTTTGTAAGGCTGTCTGAGGAGTAAGTGAAATAATGGCATATTAGTTCTTAGCAGAATACTTGGTAGCTGTTACTGTAAGCACGGGGCAGCAAATGACAAGGTCAGCATTTCAAACCCACTTATGAGTAAGAACTGACTCCACGGCACATAACCACCACCACCACCAAATGCTCATCAGAAACCCCAGGGTCACTATGAGTTGAACCTACTCAATAGCACTTAACACCAATATTATTATTACTTAAGTGTGATATCTACGGTTTTATTTAAAAAACAAAAGTGTCCAATAACAGCATTTACAATTGTCAATTTAGATGACAATTATTATTCTTCATGCAAAATGTACTTTTCCATAGTATAACAATATTAAGGAGCTCTGGTAGTATAGTGGTTGGTTACGAGTCTGGCTGCCAGTCTCAAGGTCAGCAGTTCAAAACTACCAGTGGTTCCACAGGAGAAAGATGAGGCGTTCTGCTCCCGTAAAGATTTACAGCCTCGGAAACCCTGTGCAGAGACACTATGAGTCGGAACCAACTCCACGGTACTTAACAACAACAACATACACTCCCACAAACAACTTCTGTAAAACTACTGAACAGTTAAAGCAACAAGTGGGTTGATTATGTCCTTTGGGGAGAGAGTCATTCAAATTATTTCCCCATCTCTTTCTTTCATTCTGTCCATTTGAATTTTGAGACAATCCTCAGAGGGAAATGGGGGCAACTGAGTGTGGTACAGAGAAGAGGGTAGAAGAGCCAGTCAAGTTTACATTTTTATGTATGTATGGCAAGTTTTCATGTTTTTACTAACAAAGTTGTTAGCTATTAGTAAAAATTTAATATAAGTGAAAATTTAAGGATTATCTAAGGTGTTTATCCTTATTATTCCTTAAACCACAAGGTTGGCAGTTCAATCCCACCAGCTGCTCCTCAGAAACCCTATACAGGGTCACTATGAATCGGAACCAACTCAACAGCACTTAAAAAGAAGTCTTCTCCACACTTGTTTACTAAAGAATTATTTCTCTTAAGAAATCCAAAGGGAGAAGAGACAGAGATAGAAAGGGAAAGAAACAAGACAGGAAGATGAAGGGAGAGATAAGAGGAGGGCAGGGAATGACAGGTACATCTAATGTGTTAGAAGATTAAAGAATACTCATTACAGCCTGAATTGGGTGTGTGTGTGTGTGTGTGGAGAATTGCTCAATAAAAGGACTTTTCCCCTGTGAATATCCATGGTGGGATTCTGGGGATCTCCAGACAGAAAAAATTTCCAGTTTAAAGAAAATAGTCTATCAAATGTTCAGCCACATCAGAAAATCAAATCAAATAATAAAAATGTTCAGAACTCATCATTTATCAATGAATGGGAATGGAGGACTAAAAGGACTGTTTTAATAACCACTGCCTCTGAGTTGATTCCAACTCAATGAAAGCCTATAGGACAGAGTAGAATGCCCCGTAGGGTTTCCAAGGCTGAAATCTTCACAAAGCAGTCGGCTTCATCCTTCTCCTGTATAACCGCAGATAGATTCAAACCACTGACCTTTTGGTTAGCAATCCAACACTAAACCCACTGTGCCACCAGGGCTCCTGTTAATCCAACAGGAAGAATAAATGGTATAGATAATGGCTAGAACAGAAAATAAATAGGAAATATACTGAAAGGCCAAAATTGCAAACAGAAATTAACAGGGTAGAAATTAAATTCTGGAAATGTTGTTGTTAAGTACCGTCGAGTCGGTTCTGACCCATATCGACCCTGAACAGGGTTTCAGAGACGGTAAATCTTTACAGGAGCAGAAAGCCTCATCTTTCTCCCGCGGAGCAGCTGGTAGTTTCGAACTGCTGACCTTGCGGTTTGCAGCCCGACACTTGTTAACCCTATACAGGGTCACTATGGGTCGAACCAACTCAGCACTTTACAACAAAGTAAAACTGGAACAGGACATGTCACTGGTCTTAAGAAATCCGTGTTTCTACTGCTCTGCACTCTGGCAGGATGCAAGCTGTCCAGTGGAAAACCTGGACCCTGGCTCAATTCAAACTACTCAACAGTGAGAAACTAATTAACCTCCCTGGTACCATGTCTGAAGAGAGAAAACTTACTCACAGCTGTATTATGAGCATCTGCAGATAGTTTGTAATTTTTAAGGGTTGTACAAATCTCTTTGACAACCATAAACAGCATCTCTTTTCTCCTTAACATGGACATGGAATCTATTTCATATATTAAAAATAAGTTATTTCAGCTATATCTGTACTGAATGGTACAAACCCAGGTGGATGTTTAACTGAAAACAAATGGGTGCAAAGCGAAAACCTAAAAGTAGCATACACACGTGGCAAAAAGTGTAAAAAGTAAAGAATGGGTTCACATAAATACTATCAATAGCAAGATAATGCCACCAATACTAACTAAACCATTTAGAAAGTAACTAGTAATGGTATCTAGCATCACATCTTGGTCAGTGTTACTTAATCATCAGAGTTCTTTTGTACACAACCACCTCCAAAAGATGCACTTAAAAAAAAAAAAAATCTAACAATGTATCAAAACACTGACATATTTTATCTTTTTCATTTGCTAAAAGAGCTCTGGTAGCGTAGTGGTTACGAATCGGGCTGCGAACCATAAGGTCAGCGGTTTGAAACTACGAGCCGCTCCGCGGGAGAAAGATGAGGCTTTCTACTCCCGTAAAGATTTACACCCTCGGAAACCCTGTACAGGGTCGCTATGGGTCGGAACCGACTCGAAGGCACTTAACAACAACAACAACAAACAAACCTGTAGCATAACTGAGTTAATCAAGTGACTGACATTCTTCAAAAATAAGATGTAGAAAATTTGAATACTATTATATATAGATAGTAATGGCGCTCTGGTAGCGTAGTGGTTACCAGTCGGGCTGCTAACCTTAAGGTAAGTTCGAAACTACCAGCCTTTCCGCGAGAGAAAGATGAGGATTTCTGCTCCCGTAAAGATTTACAGCCTCGGAAATCCTCTGCAGGGTCACTATGAGTAGGAAGCGACTCCACGGCACACCACCACCATTATATATAGCAACATGATGTTTACAGCAAATCACAAAGCTCTATTTTATGTAACTTCTAGTTGCCAATAATCAAGAAAAAAAAAGAACGTATTATTATAAACAACGAGGTCTTTCTATACTTTCCGATCCTTAAGTTGTTATTTTTCACTACTAGGAATTTCTAAAAAATTAAAAAGGGGAAGGGAAGATGACCGTGAGCCAGTTCCTAACTTAACAACCAGGGACCTCAAGTAGCAAGAAAGGGTCTAAACGCCTTTACACACACGACCAGCAAAGCACCCCTCGCCCAGGACACAGCGTTAACGCGTGTGGGAGGAAAAGACAGCAGAAGGCCCGGGCCGGCCAGGCAGTCCCGGCGGCGGGCGCTTCGGCACTCCGCGGAAGCGGCCATCGTCTGTCTCAGCCGTCCAGCCGCCATCCCAAGCCCGCCGCCGACAAGGCCTTCCTTCCCCTGCCCTCATAGCCTCGCAGCTGTCCCGGCCCCATCGGCTGCCGTCTCTCCCGGTCCCGGCGCGCGACTTCTCTTCCTATCTCCCGGCCCCAAAGAGGGCCCAGCCCCGCCGCGCTCACCGCGTTCTTCTTCTGCACCATCTTGTCCATCTTCTTGGCAATGCGGACTACCTCGTCCTCCATGACTCCGGCAAATCTTCCCTGTGCCTACTCTAACTGGGATGTGAAACGGGCGACACCGCGGCAGAGGGAACGTTAAGAGTCGAGCCCAGGCACCGGCAAGAGCCCACACAGCAGGCCCGGGCCTAGGCCCTTCCTGACGATACGAGCCCGCGGCTGTGGCTGTGGCTGTGGCGGCGGCGGCGGCAGCGGCAGCGGCGGCGGCAGCACAGGCACAGCCAGTCGAGCTGCGCGCGCTCTGCTCAGGTGCTACCAATCGACCGCGGATCTACGGAGAGGTGCCGCAGGGGCGGGGAGGAGCTCGGGGGGGCGGGGCGGGCTTCTGTGTCTTCCCGCCGGTGTGTGATGCGAGGCTGCAGACGCTAGGTCTTTGCCGGGGCAAGAGTTCCGTCCCCAGGTACCTGCGGGCAACTAGAGTTTTAGAACTACAGAGACCTTTGTAGCTCTGAACGGTGGGTAGATTTGGAGAATGGGGCTTTGACAGTTCTTAAAGTCAGTCGTAACCCAAGCACTCTCTCCACTGTAGATGGCAACCGCAAAAAAAGAAAGAAACCGGAAACCACGCAACCTCCTCCCTACCCATTGCGGTGGAGAAGAGTCCAACTAAATGACCCTATAGGACAGAGTAGAACTGCCCCATAAGGTTTCCATGGCTGTAATCTTTATGGCCCAGGATAGGGCAGTGTTTCGTTCTGTTGTGCATAGGGTCACTATGAGTCCGTAGCGACTCGATGGCACCTAACAACAACAACAATCTTTATAGAAGCAAACTGCCACATTCACTAAACCACTGTGCCACCTGGGTTCCTGCCTTCTCTCCAGTTCCCCAAAATAGCTCATTGTGATAGCTGTTTGATCACTTTAAACTTTTTAAAAGTAAAATTGTTGCTAAGCTGGTTGAGAACAGATTTGATCATGTTTTTTTTGTGTTTTGGTTTTTTGGGCTTTTATTTTTCGTGTAAGGTTGGACGTTGTTGTTAAATCGGTTCCTACTCATAGCGACCCTTTATAGGATTTCCAAGGTGGGTTTTAAGCCGTAGGCTTTGCGGTTCAAACTGACCTTGTGTTTACCCTACAGCGCCACACCAGGATTCTTAGAATATAGTTGAATAGTTGACAATAAACTTCTGATTAAACAAACATGGCATCTCACCTGTGTCTGAAGACTCCTGAGGAAGTCAACACTTGCACAGGGGGATCAGCCTGCTGTGGACAATAGGGTTTTTAATGGTTGATTCTCAGTAGCTCAGCAGGCTTTACTTCTTAGTCCATATTTGTCTGGAAACTCCACTGAAAACCTGTTCAACATCAACAATACGGCTACGCTGAAGTTCATTGGAATCACACTGTATGGAAGGCGTAAATTGCACAACTGACCCACCACTGCCCCCAGGAACTCTTTCCAAAGGTCTTTTTGTCCAATCACCTTAGGATCAGTGGTGTCACGAGGGGGATGCAGGAAGTGCACATTGTACATGGTGACTGCCAGAGGAGGTGACAGCAAAATGACTGAATATAAAATTGTTCAGGACAATGATAAGCTTTGTGCTCCTGTAGATGATTTACAGCCTTAGAGGCAGAAGCAACGAGGAGGAAACGGGAGTGACCCGAGAACGCTGCCAGTCACCATGAGCCTCCTAAACAAGCCCAAGAGTGAGATAACCCCAGAGGAGCTGCAGAACAGGGTGGGGGGAGTTTAACATGGAGCCCCTCTCTGTGCTCATGCAGTCGGTCAAGAACAACACCCAAGTGGTCATCAACTGTCCCAATCAGAAGCTGCTGGGCTGCCTGAAGGCTTTCAACAGGCACTGCAACATGGTGCTGGAGAATGTGAAAGAGATGTGGACCGGAGCCCCAAAAGTGGCAAAGGCAAGAAGTCCAAGCCTGTCAACAAGGACCTCTACATCTCCAAGATGTTCCTGCGTGGGGACTCTGTCATCCTGGTCCTGTGGAACCCACTCATCGACAGCAAGTAGGGGCCCAAAGCTGCCTCCCATCACCCCATGAAGGCCTGCCCTGTGTTGGGAATAATAAAGTCCCTGTGTTTTTTACTATAAAAAAAAAAAAAAAAATTTACAGCGTTGGAAACCCTAAACAGTGTCTATATGAGTTACAACCGACTTGGTGGCACATAACCACCATAGTACATATATCAATATGTAAGCTGGGCTTATGAAAAATGTTTCTGTTATTATATATACAGGGGCATATACCCAAGGCTATTTTGATATATGTAAATCACAAATTATTTGTTGTTATAACTAAATTAAGGAGCTCTGGTAGCATAGTGGTTACGAATTGGGCTACAAACTGCAAAGTCAGCAGTTCGAAACTACAAGCTATTCCACATTCCACAAAAGAAAGATGAGGCTTTCTGCTCCCGTAAAGATTTACAGCCTTGGAAATCCTGTACAGGGTCACTATGAGTTGGAACCAACTCCACAGCACATAACAACAACAACAACGTAACTGAAATTATTTGTTGTTATGAGCTGGGCCTACGAAAAACACATGTTTTATTTTTCAAAGTTTTCTGTTGAAACACCACACAAAATTTTATAGACAAGTATTTTGCTGTCACCCCTTCTGACAGCACCACTCTGTTCATCCCTCTAGCGATACCACTGATCCTGAGGCATCTAATACATAGCACGCCCTTCTCCTGTCCTTGCATCTTAGATACATGCTTCAATCATTGTTAGAATTTTAATGGTCTCCTGGTTGAGCTTGAAGCCGTTTGCTTAACTTCTGATAAGGAGTAGCCATCTAGACAAACAGACTCTAGGACAGTTAGTCATATACTTGCTTTTAATATGCTTATTGGGGCACCATGACCACCTTGTGACTTAGTGTGAATGTTAGAGTGGTAAAATTTTAGGCCACCTGCATGCTGTACTGATAGTTGCTGTTGTTAAGTGCCTTCCAGTCATAGTGACCTTGTATAGCATTTCCTCTGAGTGGCTGGTGCCTTTGAACAGTGCTTATCCTACAGTGCCACACCTAGTCTCCCTTGTACTAGTTGTTGTTGTAGTTGTTAGGTGCCATTGAGTCAGTACCAACTCATAGCAACCCTGTGTACAACAGAACAAAACACTGCCCAGTCCTGGGCTAACCTCACAGTTGTTGCCACACTTGAGCCCATTGATGGTGCCACTTTGCCAATCCATCTCTCTGGGGGTCTTCTTCTTTTTCTCTGACCCTCCACTTTACCAAACATGATATCCTTCTCCAGTGACTGTTCCCTCCTGACAATATGTCCAAAGTATGAGAG